AAAAACATGTGAGGCATTTCTCACTGGAAGTGCACAACTGCAGACACTAACTTTAAATTATTTACAAACCTATGAAAGGATTTTAAGGAAATTGTTGCCAAAAGTGCACCTCATGCCAGGGAAAAATTCACAAAAATATGGAAAGATCCAGAAAAGGTGTGAGTTTTAGCTACAGGCGAAAGTCACAATATGGGGCATAATTTGCTTCTTGACGGATGTCTGCGCTCCCTGAGTGCTTTTCTAGTTGATAATGTAGTAAAACAGAGGCATATGGAAAGGTAGCAGACTAAGGTGAGTTTATACTGTAGTACTTTAACACCAGACCGTTGAATTGCTTGAAACAATGCCAGTCTGGAGACTAAATCACTCTAGAACCATGTCCAGACACAATCACAACTGCTGGTGTCAGGATGGTTTATTTAGACCCGTATCAGTTTGATTAATGTTTATATTGTTTGCCCATTGTAATGTGCCAAAAGTAACAAGAAGAGAGGATCTGGAGTATGAGGAAAGCACTGCAGTAGCAGAAGAGTAAATTAAATTAAGAGACTGAATCTTTAGATAAAACAGTTCCATTTTTTTTTCTTTTCATCTTGATTAGACTATTTAATTACTGTGTGAGGTTGCTTAGCCCTGTCTCTAGAACCATTTTAAAGTAAACTGCATCAACTGTGAAGTTTCTCACTTTTATAATTTCTTCTTGACCAATAGCTGGGCTGGCCTAGCCGTGGAAATGTACACTAAGACACAATGATACTACAAATCAAAGGAAAACAGATTGCACAGAAATAAACCCAAATACAAAGAAAACATCACAAGAATAAACCAACAGTATGTAGTATTAACGAGTTCTTGCCCTTATTAAATTCATAAAGTGCGCTGTTTATCCACATTGTTTTATGAACAAGGTATGGCAGGACCTATAGAGCAGAATTAAACAACAGAGAAATGTTGAAACTACAAACACAAAAGAGCCACAAAAAAGCAACCCCCTATAGAGTTTAACATGTGTGAAACCAAAATCTGACGATTAAAGATGGAGGCAGAACTCTTAGCAAATAGATACACTGAGTCATGCTGAGCTGACAATCTATTTTGGATTTAACATGGAGCCAATGCAGAGAAACTCTTTTTAAAAGACATGGCTTTTATTTTTAATTCTTATAAATACTGTTGTGGCAGCATCAGCCATTTATTAACTGAATATATTTAACACCCAGATCTTTGTTTGCTTTGGGTAATATTAACAAAGTTTTGCATGATGATAAATTATTTGCCATGCATGTAATACATAGCTGTCACCTTGTTGCTATCTGTTGTTGTTTCTGGCTCAAGATGGTACCAATGATCACACATCTGGTGACCAAAATGCTTGAGCGAGGCCCAGTGAGTGAACATCTATCCACTATGTAGATTAAGTAGATTACTTTCACAGAACCTACTGCACTAACCGCCCATGTTTTCACATGCCTAAAATTCCTTTATTGGATTGAAATGTGTTCGGATCGGAAATGTTTGGATAATTACAATGTACTCCTTATATGGAGCTCAGAATGAAAAAATCTGATCATTACATGTTTATTTGCGCCTAGCTTTATTCCGAGTGAAGGGAATCTGTCTTGTGTAGGGTTGTCATGCTTTAATAAAATGCTTATGTTCAGTATCTCATGCTCTTGCTGTTCTTGTATTACTGAATGAGTGGGAAGAAATTTACATCTCTCAAAGAGTTGTCCTGTCCAGGACAGGTATGCTTTCAAATCAATTCTGAATTCTATTTGCTTTTCTGTATTTAACATGATTTGCCTACCTGAAGTTGACGTCAATAGGCTGATTGACAAAAGTCTAGAGCCAGAAACAGAAACCTGTTTAGATATTCCTCAAAGGTTAATGCAGGATCCAAAAATTCTGTTTAGATTGAAATTAACATATAGGGCCTATTTAACTGGAACCCTTTGACAAATAATTCAATATGTACTTGTGGTAGACCATTTTCTGAGTGTCTTTTAAGTATGTTTGAAAAAATGAGGTTGTTACTCTGACTACTGCACAGAAAAATACATGCAAATGTTGATATATTGACTGTGCAGCAACATATTTGTCAGTGGTATCATTCACCCTAAGGGACCAGTGCTTGCCAATGGTTACGACGTCTGCCTTGCATGTGTAACAGCTGCCACAGTGAGAATTCTGGTGGAAATTAGTGGATATCGTCATTTTTCTAATGAATGTTTTGTGAATCTCAGTAGTCAATTTCTAGGAGGAAAGTATGTAGATTTTGTTCATTGCTGCAATCAATAATTTATGAAGAACATCGGCAGTGTTTTTCCTAATAGCAATATGACACTTTAGGTTACAGGAAAGGTTGTTTGTGGTCACCTGATCAGAGGGCTGTCCTTCACTATTTGCATTTTTGACATTGCCATGTGCAGATAGCACTACAGAAAAATCCAAATACATTTCAATTTAAATTATCTAACCTCCTCTGCAAAATGGATTTACTTGAAAAAGCCCACTGTTCAGGGCAAAGAGGGCAAAGCATGTTTATTTGTTTTGCTCAGGTCAGTCATAAATCAGAAATCAACATTACAATAAAAGCAAAAGAAAAGCAGAATGAAAGCAAGTAAAGTTAAAAACATGATAAAACAGGTAGTAAACCAAACAGTTGGACCATAAACCTAAACATTAGTTAAAAGAAACAGTCAAAAGCTGTTCTAAACAAATAGGTTGTTAATGTTGAACTAAAATAACTCATGGTTTCAGCACAAAAAAGGAACACAAGAAAGGAGGAGCTGTTCTGATGTAACCACCCATGTATGGACATCTTAGTTCTCAGTGCGGGTGACCTGGGTTCGAATCCAGCCTGTTGTCTTTTCCCACATGTGTCTTCCCCTCTTATTACCCCTTTCCTGTCAGCCTACTGTCCATAAAAATGAAACAATAGTGCTGTAAAAACTCAAGAAAGAAAAAAAAAACACTGTTAATTGTATTGTTTCAATGGCAATAAATGAAAAGACTTTTCAAGAGGAAGCGTTTATAAAAATAAAGCAAAGCAAACTGAATTAAAAAGGTTGTAAAAGCCCTGAAAATCCCAGGCAATACATATGGAGGCACACTTTACAGATTTTAAAGTACAAGAAGCTATGCCACATAGAGCAGAACGAGGAAGTCATCTGCAGCATGATTTATTTAATGATTGAATGATTTTAACACCTCAGTGTTCATAATAATGCCTTTGATAATTGAAGAAACTATTTTGTTTCAGTTGATCATGAATTGCA